ATTCATAAAAACCGACAATTACCATACATTTTTACCATGTTCAACAACAACAATGCAAAACATTTGATGCAAAACGGAAAGAGTGCTTTTGAACAGGCTGAAGTGCATTCCAGAAAATTTTGCATTGATTGAATAAAAAATCGAACAGGTGTGATGAATCTGTAATTATAATGGAAAAGCCAACGAGGTTTGTGGTTATTTATTGCAAATTAATATTCTCCAATTCGAATTTATTTTTTGTGTTGTGTGATTTTGGTTATTGACTGATAGATTTTACTGTACTAAATTTTGTCTATCTACCAGTAAATAGAATCTAAACATATTTATTATAACACTTTTGACATTTATAAAAATTGAAATATTAACACAATGATTTATCTTTTATTGTGACTGAAAAATATTATTTTAAAATGTTAAGTATAAAACAATCAAACCTTGATTTAGCATCACCATTTGTTTATCTACGAAATTTATACTAAATCAAGTGTGGTGTGAACTTGATTTAATGCAAAATATCTTAAATGATAAGAATTGAGAAAGGATGAGGCTATACCTCATCCTTTCTAAGTGGTCGATAACACCCCCTTGTTTGCATTGGAGGCTTTCAGGGGGGCAGTAGAAGGCTCATTGATTAAATATGAGTTTTATTATTTGTTTAAAATTATATTTGGAATAACTGTTTTTAAGATACGCAACAGGATGGTAATGTAAAAAGGTAAGTTAAAAAATATGGGGACACTAGATTTTCTTTTAATCTCAAAGTGGGCAGTGGTCGAAATAAGTTTGAGAACCTATGCTATACCTCATGTTTTATGCAGTGAAGCATTTGTCATATTTGACAGCCTGCTTCGGGATCTCGCTTGATATGTGAAAAAGGTAATAGGATGTATTTTTTCACATGCTACAACTTTTTAATTGACAATGTTGCCCTATTTTTATTAGGGACTGAGATTACAACAGCCCTCTGTAATATGAAGGCTGCAGGGAAACAGAAATTGGCATGATTGTTTAGCACATCTCTGATGTATAATGCATCAGAAAAAGGACTGCAGTGATGGCTTTATTAGTTTTTAAAATAATTGGCCCAGGAGAGACTTTTATTACCACTCTATATATCAGACACGGGCAAATGCGGCTCTTGCTGAAAGTGTTAATTTCTGCTTATTATTATTATTATTTTTACAATTTTATTTCCATAATTTTGTGAAAATATGTTTATTAAAAAAAATTCAATATTTGTTTTATATTATATTTATATTATATAATAAAATTGCGATACAGAACTGCGGTACAGAATAAAAAAGTACAGAACTGCGGCTCCCGTGCATTTTGCGAAACCTACATTTCGGCACCCACCGAACTCTTTCTTGCCCACCCCTTCTATATATACTAATGTGAGTCCACATATGAGTTTGAAACTTTGAAAACCAACTGATTTGGTAATAAATCATATACAATGCTAATATACATTTAATTATTCACAGATACTGAAGGATTTTATATTTAATATTTATGGAGAAGATTCATTTTCAGTATAAAAAACATTTTCTTAGTATTATTTTCTTTAACAATTTAAGTGAATTTACTTTATTATCTGTTTGTTTTTAATATCATATTTTGCATAGTGAGAAGTAAACAGTAAAATTTATTGATATTAGAAAAATTTATTAATTTATAACTTGCAAATTTTCTTAGATAAACTAAATAATTTAAAATATATAAAACTATGAAAATGTACCTTAAAGATACATACTTTTATTAGATTTTAATGTAAAAGAAATGCTATATACATTTAAATTTAAGTTCTGTTTAGAATTTATTGGTATAATGAAGTTGTTTTTAAGACTTTGATCTTCTCCTTTTAGAGGTTAGAGATTTTCTTAGCGGGTGACTTGATTGTTTCTGTTTTAAGATTGCTTTATTACATAAAATTATCGACTTTTTAATTTTGTTCAATTTCTTACTTTGTAGAAACATTTAATAAAGTTAATAATCGTATTTATTTATTAATATTTTGTGTAATGATAAATTCTTATTTATCATCGCAACTTAATTTGGGGAGTCATTTTTTGACCAATTGCCATACTTTCCCTCTGTTATACGTAACAGCCAGAAAAGTAAATAATTATATTTTTTTCTTTGTAATCAGCATGTTTCATTTTGAAAGTGCCTATGAAGTTTAGCTGAGCCAAACATTTGCTAGTATTTTATTACATAAAACACATATTGCATTAGGACCACTTGTATTGTCAATTTAAATAACTTTCATTGTACTTTCATTTTGGTCTGTTCTTTGATGATACTTGTTCTGTAATGTTAGATTTTGAAGAAATCTCAGTGTGTAACTTCGTTTCTGCTCCGATCATAGATGCGTCAGCATAAGTACTTGTTGTTCCTTGTGACTGCATGTTTCCACAGTTTTTGATTGATATTGAATGTGACTGCACATTTCCTAGAATGCTCGAAGGTGTTGACAACTATGGATGGCCAATCAGCAGACCGTAATAGCACAATCCACACGCAAGGTATGGAGTAACTGATTTTCAAATTGAACTTGTCACAGCATGTAAATTCATTCTAGATTCAAAATTTTGATAATTTTTCACAGAACAAAGCTTGGGAAACACTGATTTACAGGATCTTTTCTTTTTTTTCCTTTTTTATTTTAGAAATTTAACCATGTAATAGCAGGTGACTTTGGGGTGTGCTACAAGCGATGTAGTTATAGATAGAGATGCTGTTGGCAAGTGACGTCAACTCTGTGATTTACTTTCATTAAATGTGGTGAATTTCAATATTACTTTGAGAATTTTATTTATTTCTTTCTAATTTGTGATAACTCTCAAATTTGACTTTTTAAAAGGGTGGTTTTTTTTGGGTGAATTTTATTTTTTACGTTAAAAAGAATTGATTTTGCAAAACAATTCGTCAACAACAGACAATCTATACACCAAATTGAACATCAGTGATCAAATATTCATTTAATTCCTTAGAAAAATACATCTGATACTGAAGCATTTTGGATTAAGGTCCATAATTACGTATGAAAACCCTTTTCAAGAACTTACTTTTAAACTATTATGCTTACCACACTTCAGCAGAGATGTAAAAAGAATTTTTAGCGTAATGGATAAATTATTATTAATTGAAAGTAAACTTCAAAATAGAATAGGCCATCGCTTTTAAATAGTATCACTTTTGAGTATATATTATGGTTTGAAACGGAATGGCAAATGTTGCCGTAACTGTAAGCTACTCGATGATATAATTAAAAAGCTTGATATGAATGAAGCAAGCATATCGAAGTAGATTTTATAGATTTACTGTGTGTTTCTATAGAAAATGTTTTGTGTTTTATAAATTAAAAAATTTAATAATTTATATTTTCAAATATTTCAATTAAGTTATAGATAATAAATTGCATTTTTTAATATACTATATTAAGTTTTAGATAAATTGGAATTTAGTGATTTTTGGTTACCTTCGATGGTAAGTGAAAATAAAAAATTGACAGTGGGCAACCGTTAGGTTAAGTTGTGGATGTCACTGAAGCAGACATGAATGCACCAGATATTACATCGCACGACACACATCTATTCCACTGCTGTCTGCAATCAACATAACATGCAGAGGATGCCATATGATAATTTGAGTAGTGCAATATGTTAAAGTTACAACGTGATGAACCACAACTCTTTTGGTACATTTTATGGACTAACAAGGGATACACAAATGTGACAATTTGCACCACTAGGTAGTGTGTGCTCCACAATACACGCAACATAAATGACACTAAAATGCATTTTATCCTAAACATCTGGTGTGAATTTGGGATGAGTAACTTATTAGTCCTCTATATATTGATGGCACCCTGAGTAGTGACTGATATCTGAACATTCTAAACATGATGGTGGACAAATGGCTTGATGATTTGCCATTGGCAATAGGCTAGGTACTAGCACAATGGTATGCCAACTCTTTCCTAGACAATTGTGTATCACTGGCTTATAAAGCAATTTGACAATTGTTATATAGAACAACACACCCGTTTCATGGACACCACATTCCTTACACTTGACTCCTCATATTTTTTTGGGGTCATCTAAATCCGTGGTTCCCAATTAGTGGTACGTGTATCCCTGGGGGTATGTGAAATTGCATGAAGGGGTACGCGCTGCAATCTAAAATCAGTCGATTTAAAATTTAAATGCATGAGATGAAGCAATCAAAAAAATAATGGGTGGACTATCAAAAATTTGGCAATTTTTGATAGGTGTAAAGCAGTGATTACCAAATTACCCCCTTAAGAATGGTAGAAGATTCGAGGGGGCACTGGAAGGCAAGGAATGGATGGGGTGTAAAGATAAGGGAGACAAAAATTCATCTTGAAATAAGCAAAAACTAATGTAAGAAATACATACACTAAAAGAGGATGGTAGTCTGAAAAGAATGGGAAACAGTGTTGTAAAGCTATATCATCTTATAATATATCATAATAGTATAATTTTAAGAGAAACTTATGTTTATCATATTGCTGTTATTTAATTTTTGGGGACTATCTAATTTTTATTTATTGCTAATATGATGCTATATAAGAAGAGTTAAATGTATATTACTAATGAAATTTCTTGACATATTTTTAATGCTTTTAACAAATTCAGCAAGCTTTTGAATAACAGTGGTAGTAAAAGAAATATGAATGTTTGAATAATAATATAAGACAAAAATACGAAACAAAATTGTTCTTTTTTGATATTGTTGTTTTATTTCATTTAAAACATTACTTAGCAACATTACAAATAAAATTAAAAGGCTAATAATATGATATAAAATTTCTTTATGCTGCTTTTGATCATTTGGTAACAAAAGTTTCATAATTTTCAGAACTAAAATATATTTATTTTAATGCAAACAGAAGAATATTAGAAACTTCCCTTAATAACAAAGCATAATTTTGTAAATTTTAGAAGGTTATTGAAAATTTTTACATTTTCTTTCAGGAACGTATGATAAATGGACGAAATTACATTTTAGAAGAAGCTATTACTGGTGATTTTGCCCTGGTGAAAGCTTGGAAAGCGGACAGAGCTGGAAATTTAATATTCAGGTTAGAGAAAAAGAGAATTATATTAAAATTCAATATTAAAATTACCACTTAAAATTAATTTTAATATTAATAAATTAATACAATACATCTAGTAGTAGTTCATTTAGCATCTCAAAATATCTTATTTTCACATAGAAAATTAATAACAACATTATATTAAAATAAAAAAAATCATTACGCTGTCATTTATCACTCAAATTGAACTAATTAGGTAATTGATTTAATGATCTGTGACCATTTCATTTCAGTCTTTAGACTGGTTATTTGAAAAATATAGAATACAATTGTTAATCTTCTGAAAGCTATAGATTTATATTGCACTTCTTAAATTTTAAATAAACTGGTAATTTTATTAGACATTTCATCAGAAAGTTATATATATCATTGTCAGTTTAATTAATTAAATTAAATTATCCAGTACAGTAGAACAGAGGTGTTAACATTCAGATGAACAAAAACTTGGATTATCATAATCAAACAGAACCATGCATATATGCTAGGAAAACTCCACATGAATGGATGAAACAGATTTAATGTCTAGATATTGAGGAAGTCTTCAATTGATGGATCTCTAAACATAATTAGATGAGGTGTGATCCACTGCTGAAAACTCAATGAGAAAAGTTAGATTAAAAAAAACTGAGCTATAAAGATGATCAAAGCAACAGGTGATTGATTATCTAAATAGAAATCTAGTTGTGACTAGAGGATTTGATCCCGGGATCTCGAAAATTGGGATCCCAAGATCCTGACCACTTTTCAGTCCTAAAATTTTCGGGATTCACATCATTTTAAAAAAGTTGCAAAATAGACTGCATGAAGCAAAACGTTCCATGCCGGTGTTTTTAACAGAATTGCTTGCCTATCATTTTAATATAAAATACAAGAAGTTTTATACCAAGCAAGCAGCATTAATTAACCTAGCAGGCTTGCGATGCTTGCTTGGAATAAAACTTCTTGTATTTTGAACTAAAATGATAGGCAAGCAGTTCTCACTGGGTTACCTGGTAATATACTTCATTTTTTAATTTTTGTGGGTGCCAATCGATTTTCTGGCACAGTCGAGAGCACTACTCAGTGTGTTTTACCTGTTAATGTGTCAGCCATCTCGTTTCGCCAGTGTGGGTAATATAGACCCGACACCTCTTGCTTAGGGGAGGTCGACCTTAGGTGAAAAGGTTATGACCCTCGCCTTGCTCGCGATCTGTCAGGATGATGTGAGAAAGCCTTTTTACGTATGGGGGTAGTGGTTTGCTGGACACTGAGAGACTCACACAGAGACCGAATTTACAAATTAACATGTTTAATTTAAGAAAGAAATGAACCTGTATGAGTCTTCAAATTCTACTTGGAGCTATAACCTAGAGCGGGCTTATAAGTATTTACTAACGATTCCTCCAACTTCCATCGAACCTGAACGCGCTTTCTCAGCAGCTGCATATATGTGCAACAAATTGAGAAGCAGACTTGGTGATGAGAAACTGGATGTGTTGTTATTTCTCAGATCATATTTTCGCAATTCAAATTATAATGTTTCTATTAGATTAGTTTTCTTTATATTTAAGAAAAATGTGACTGATTAATATTATTTTTTAATACTTTTTGCTAAGAAACTTACTATACTACCTACTTACTAGGGGTTGTTACATTAAAGTCATCTATTTAGTCGATGTTAAGAGAGATTTTTGTTAATTTTCAATGTTTATTTGCATAGTTTGTTACATAAAGGTTTTTTTCAATTTATATAAGTTTAAAGAGATCTCAGTGATGCTTGAAAAAGAATAACTTTAACACAAAGACTGAGTGATTTTAAGTCTGGTTAATCTGACTCTAAGTCTGATCAGTTAGAGTGATTAGATTAGCTAGGTGTATACTGTAAAATACGTTGATTTTTGTCTAAATTTTGATTTGTTGATTAAACAGCTGATTTCTGTAGGATTTTCTTATTTTTTATTTTTTATTAACCCTCAATACCAAAATGATCCCGGGATCCCGGGATTAGAAATAAGGGCTGGGATCGAATTCCCTAGTTGTGACATTAAATTTAAGAAAAAATACAGCAAGAAAGACAATGTTGTTGATACAAGTATAAGTACCAAATGTGAAAATACACCAAACTGTTTAATTTGTACAATATGACATTTACAATGCCAATGAAACAGACTGTTTTTATTTTGCCATATCTGGACAGTTTCCTGATATATAAACAATATTGGACTTTAGGAAAGCAATGAATCACATAAATGTGTTATACTGTTCTAATATTCTATATATGTATGTCTCTTTAATCTGGCATTAAGTTCGGTAAACTATCATTACAGCTTTCAGGTTAGACACTTCTTTTATTGTTTCCATGTATGCATTTCGGACTTATATAAATGTTAAGTCCCTCTTCAGTGCAATACTATGGTTCTGTCTTGTAAAACCACAGTGTACAATGGGTAACATTGGAAAGATTTTAAAATACAGCCATTAAAAACACCACATGTGGTGTTTTTAATGGCTATATTAAAATTGTTTAGATTAAAATTGTATTAAAATTGTTTAGATTGTTTAAAATACAGCCATTAAAAACACCACATGTGGTGTTTTTAATGGCTGTATTTTAAAATCTTTCCAATGTTACCCATTGTACACTGTGGTTTTACAAGACAGAACCATAGTATTGCACTGAAGAGGGACTTAACATTTATATAAGTCCGAAATGCATACATGGAAACAATAAAAGAAGTGTCTAACCTGAAAGCTGTAATGATAGTTTACCGAACTTAATGCCAGATTAAAGAGACATACATATATAGAATATTAGAACAGTATAACACATTTATGTGATTCATTGCTTTCCTAAAGTCCAATATTGTTTATATATCAGGAAACTGTCCAGATATGGCAAAATAAAAACAGTCTGTTTCATTGGCATTGTAAATGTCATATTGTACAAATTAAACAGTTTGGTGTATTTTCACATTTGGTACTTATACTTGTATCAACAACATTGTCTTTCTTGCTGTATTTTTTCTTAAATTTAATGTCACAACTAGGGAATTCGATCCCAGCCCTTATTTCTAATCCCGGGATCCCGGGATCATTTTGGTATTGAGGGTTAATAAAAAATAAAAAATAAGAAAATCCTACAGAAATCAGCTGTTTAATCAACAAATCAAAATTTAGACAAAAATCAACGTATTTTACAGTATACACCTAGCTAATCTAATCACTCTAACTGATCAGACTTAGAGTCAGATTAACCAGACTTAAAATCACTCAGTCTTTGTGTTAAAGTTATTCTTTTTCAAGCATCACTGAGATCTCTTTAAACTTATATAAATTGAAAAAAACCTTTATGTAACAAACTATGCAAATAAACATTGAAAATTAACAAAAATCTCTCTTAACATCGACTAAATAGATGACTTTAATGTAACAACCCCTAGTAAGTAGGTAGTATAGTAAGTTTCTTAGCAAAAAGTATTAAAAAATAATATTAATCAGTCACATTTTTCTTAAATATAAAGAAAACTAATCTAATAGAAACATTATAATTTGAATTGCGAAAATATGATCTGAGAAATAACAACACATCCAGTTTCTCATCACCAAGTCTGCTTCTCAATTTGTTGCACATATATGCAGCTGCTGAGAAAGCGCGTTCAGGTTCGATGGAAGTTGGAGGAATCGTTAGTAAATACTTATAAGCTTCGAGGACACGGGGAGGATGGAAGAAAACAGTCCGGTCGACACGGATCGGGATTGTAGGAGTAAAGGCTACAATCCCGATTGTTTCGATCATTGTAAGCATGTCTTTCTAAAAATAAACGCGTTAATTTTGTAAATTCGGTCTCTGTGTGAGTCTCT